TCCAGTGAAAGATTGTTCTCACCTTAAGGAATTTCTTTCTTATATTGAAACAAAACCTCTTCTGTTGTAACTTGGGGCTTTATGTGTCTTCTCCATGAGGCTCCTTGTGAAGAGAGATCCTTCCTCCTCCTCCTCCTCCTGCTTGTAGCCACCCTTTAAAGACTGGAACACTGAGATGAGGGAATGTCTCTTATGGATCCAAATCCCTTCCAAGGCAATCACAGCCCCATCCCTGGAAGTGTCCAAGGCCAGGCTGGACAGGGCTTGGAGAGACCTGGGCTAGTGGAAGGTGTCCCTGCCCATGGCAGGGGGTGGCACTGGCTGTTCCATAAAATCCCTTCCCACTCAACCATTCCGTAATTCTGCGACTCCGTGACGCGGGTGCAAGTGCTGGTGCTGGCTCAGATCTTGTTCCAGGGGCTCTGGCAGAGCTTGCAGACTGTGTTTTGAGTCAGTTGGGGTTCACATTCCATTATTCCTGGCTTGGCTGAGGGGATTTTGCCCAGCTGCAGCTCTGTCCTCTCACATCAGGCAGAACTCACTGTCCCTCCTTGCTCTGCATTCGGGGGGAGATGCACAGTCCCTGCTTGCCACCAGCAGGGAGGTTTCAGCTGTCCTTTCCCTGGGCTCGGGGTGAGGGGCTTGAAAACCAACCTCTGCTTGGATGGAAAGAATGTTTTTGAACGTGATGTTCTGAGGGGAGCGAAAAGGAAGTGGGTTTTGAGGTAGAATTGACGGTTGGACTCGATGACGTTAAAGGTCTTTTCCAATTCAAATGATTCGGGGTCAAAGATGTGGAAGGTCTTTTCCAATTTAGATGATTCTGTGAGTCTGTGATTCCATGAAATGGGGACAAAGTGCTTCTCAGCCCCTGCTTAGGAGAGCCTGGGACAGGGCTGGCAGCTGGTTCCCAGTTTAATTCTTTCTTTCTTTCCAGCATTTTCCCCTCTTGAACTCAATTTTCACCATTTGAGGAAAAGTTCATATATCTGTATAAAACCAATTTAATTTTTTTTTTAATTTACTATTTTTAATTCATTTACCTTCCTTTTGGCATCACATCGGAACCATCCCCCCCGCGCCTTCATTTTCAGAAACGTGCACCTGAACCTCTCCCTGCCCTTGCACGAGACGCTCCTGGGAAGCTGCAGCTCCTCAGCCCTGCAGCTTCCTGAGCTCATCCCCCTTCAGCATCCTCGTGCTCAAAGCTCCTCTTTATTTTTTCCCTCCTCTTCTTTTCCCTTTTCCCCCCAGTGTACGTGCTGTCGAGTTTGATTTATGGCCTTGAAAGGGAGACTCTCGTTTAAAGAATTAATGGTATTTGCATATTTTATTTGGAAACTCCCCCGGCAGACCCTCAGCAGCCCGGGCGGGTTTTTCCTTTCCCTTCTTTTTTTTTTTTTTTTTTTTTGTGTGTGTGTGTCTGGGCCGTTCAGATTTAGCAGCAAGAGGTGAAAAGTTGAAACAGTAAAACCAATAAAACCACATTTATGTGACAGATAAATCGTTCCGAGGCAGCTCTCCCTGAGCCTCCGGGCTTCCTCCTCCCAGCCCTCTCTCCCCTCCGGAGCACGACCCAGAGCGCCGGCGCTGCCCCCGGCAAAGGTGCCGGCCCTGGATATCCTCGGACCTGCCGAGCCGAAAAGATGGATGTGGGCAAACAGTTGGAAAATACACAGGCCATCCGTCACTGTCGGGAGCCAGCCGGGGGAGCCGGGCTCTCAAGGAGCTCCGGGAAGGTCCAGCTTGAGGTGGGGGCATTTGGAGTCATGGAATGGTTTAGGCTGGAAAAGAGCTCGAGGATCGTCGAGTCCAGCTGTGCTGCCGAGGCCACTGCTGACCCACGACCCCCAGGGCCACATCCACAGGGGTTTTAAATCCCTCCAGGGATGGGGACTCCAACACTGCCCTGGGCACCCAGTTCCTGTCAAGAAATTTTCCCAATATCCAATCTAAACCTTGCCTTGAGGCCGTTCCCTCTCCTCCTGTCCCTGTTCCCTGGGAGCAGAGCCCGACAACCCCCTGGCTCCCCCCTCCTGTCAGGGAGTTGCAGAGCCAGAAGGTCCCCCCTGAGCCTCCTTTTCTCCAGGCTGAGCCCCCCCAGCTCCCTCAGCCCCTCCTGCTGCTCCAGCCCCTTCCCAGCTCCGTTCCCTTCCCTGCACACGCTCCAGCCCCTCAGTGTCTCTCCTGGTTGAGAGTCCCAGAACTGCCCCCAGAATTCAAGGTGGGGTCTCACCAGTGCCAGCACCGGGACAGGCACTGCCCTGGTCCTGCTGCCACACAGGGTTGGTACAATCCAGGTGCCCTTGGCCTTCTTGGCCACCTGGGCTCATGTTCAGCCACTGTTGACCAGCAGCTCCAGGTCACTGGAATTCCTCTGTCAGTTTGAAGCCATTCCCCTTGTTCTGTCCCTCTATGCCTTGTCCCCAGTCCCTCTCCAGCTCTCTTGGAGCCTCTTTAGGCCCTGCCAGGGGCTCTCAGGTCTCCCTGGAGCCTTCTCTTCTCCAGGGGAACCCCCCCAGCTCTCCCAGCCTGGCTCCAGAGCAGAGGGGCTCCAGCCCTGGCAGCATCTCCGGGGCCTCCTCTGAGCCCCTGAGCCTCCACCGCTTCCCTGTTTATAACAACTCCCCACATTTTAATCCCACCTTCTCCTAACCCCTTTCCAACCCTCACCTTTTCGTTTTCCTGCCTCCTTTCACCCTGTTGCCCCGGCCCTTTATCCCCGTTCTCCACGAAGGGCTACCTGGCCCCTCGGCGCTTTTCCGCGGCAATCCCTCGTCGCGCTTTGTTCGGGCTTTGCCCGAGGCACGTTCGGCCTCCCCGGGCCACCAGCGAGAGGCCTTTGGTGCGTTGTGGGGGGTTCCCATTTAGCCTCTTACAACCATCGCAACTTCTCCCAGCGGCCGACAAACCCCACAGGAGGGGCCTTGGCCCCGCCGCTCCCGCCTGAAAGGAGCCTGTGAAATCACACTGGAGGTTGTCTCTCGGAGGTGCCCGTTTTGGAAAAAAAACCTCCTGCCAGCGATGTTCGGCTCGGCTTTGGAGTTGACACAATGGCCCCGGCGCACAAAGCCGAGCGGGACCGCGGGCTGGAAAAGGCCTCCTAGGTCCCGGCTAATCCGTCCCCCCCGCCAGCCCGCGGGATTGTTCCCGACGGCTTGTTTTTCTTTGCCCTGACCTACATAGTCAAAGAGAATCTTGTTGCACATTTTTGTTTTGTATCTCGAGGTCTCGGAGGAGCTAAATCCCCTTCTTGGCGGGGCAGGGCGCGTTGTTAAACAGCGCCGGAGCCTCCAGGAAAACCATGGAGACGCGGGGACAATGGGCCCTCTATGGTTCCCGGCTTCTCCCGGCTTCTCCCGGCTGCGGTGGTGGGCGCCGGGACGCGCGGAGGCGGGAGATGAAGACGTCCACGCGCTTGGCAGCCCGTCCCCAAATAGAGTGGTCACAGCTGCGCTCCAAGAGGGAATGTTTCGGGAGGGGGGGGACAGGCAGAAGATCTTAATTAACCTGGCGAGGTTAATTAACGGTGGAGGTGAAGGCTGCGTCCCACGGATCCCCGGCGGTGTCCGTGCGGGCGGTGAAAGCCACTGAGGGGTGAGGGAAAGGCGTGGGAGCTCCTTGTCTGGGTTTTGAGGGAAATAAGGAGATGGAATGGTGTGGGAATTTAGGAAAGCTGGTCTGCAGTTTGCTCGTCCCTCACCTGGCTCCTCTGGGAGCGGTGGGGCACTTGTGGAGCTGACCAGGTGGGAATTTTGGAGGTCTGGAGCTGGGACTGTCACAGTTGGCACGTGGGACTCTTGGGGCTGGTCCTGCACAGGGCTAGATGGTGGAGGTGAAGGCTGCATCCCATGATCCTTGGCTGTGTCCATGTGGGTGGGAAAGCCACCGAGGGATGAGGGAAAGACACAGAAGTCTGTCCCAAATAGAGTGGTCAAAGCTGCTCTCCAGGATGGAATGTTTGGGGTAGGGGAATGTTTGAGGTAGGTCTTAATTAACCTGTTTTAGATGGTGGAGGTGAAGGCTCCACCCCATAAACCCTCAGCTGTGTCTGTGCGGATGGGTGGGAAAGCCAGTGCTCTGAGGGGTGAGGGAAAGACATGGGAGCTCCTGGTTGGGTTTTAAGGAAAATAAGGGTGGGGATGGTGTGGGAAGAGGTCTGTAGTTTGCTCGTCCCTCACCTGGTTCCTCTGGGAGCGGTGGGGCACTTGTGGAGCTGACCGGGTGGGAATTTTGGAGGTCTGGAGCTGGGACTGTCACAGTTGGTGCGTGGGACTCTTGGGACTTGTGCAGGGCTGGTTGGATTTCGTGTTCCCTGTGGGTCCCTTCCAGCTCAGCATATCCTGGGATTCTGTACTTAGCCCTCTCCCTCTTTTCCTTCCCCCACTGCTGGACCCGGTGGTTTCTCTTACAAGGGACTGGAAAGCACCTGGGACTCCCAGTCTGTGGTTGTTGCATCCACCCAAAATAAACCCCGGAGCTCCTGAGCGGGTCCCACACCTCCCATGGGAGTTCTGGGCATTGGAGGCACTCACAGAGCACTTGGAAGGTGCTGAGATGGAACAAGTGTGGGGAGAAATCCTGGGGGAATGGTTCAAACAACACCAGGGGTTACTTGGGGACTGAAGAAATTTGTGGTGACTTTGACCCCAAAAGTGTCCTCCTGCCAGGGCTGGGGGTGTCAGGGCTCTGGGGTCCTTCACCTTCTCAGGATGTCTCAGACCTCAAATCCACTAATTCACCCCCAAAACAGGGATAATGGAGTAGGAGTGCACTATAAATTAACACAGTCGTGCATTAATCAGCATTAAATCTTCATAAATTAATAATACTTGGTAATTAAACATTAGCAGAACAATATTAAATTAATAAAACCTTCAAACCTTTTTTGGCAGCCAACTCCACCCGCCCAGCTCCTTCACCAGCTTCCAGATCAACCACCTGCTCCCTTTTCCAGCTTTTTTCAACCTCCTATCCGTCATTTTTTTTTCCCTTTCCAGCTCTTGGATCTGTTCATCCAGTGGGATTGGTCGACGTATTTGGCTGACTACGGGCAACCCACGTGCAAGTACCTGCGTGTGAACCCCACGACCGCCCTGGTGCTGCTGGAAAAGTGAGTGTGGCTCCGGAATCCCGGGATAGCTTTCAGCCCCCTGTCTTGCTTTGGCAGCTCCTTCCGTGCTGGCGGTGCCGGGATGGGGCAGCTCGGAGAGCAGGAGGCTCCTTGGGATCCAGGGAGCAAAGATTTCACCCCCTGGCTGGACAGGGGGAGCTCAAATGGGAAATTCCTGGTTTATCCCTCTCACCTGAATCCCGTTTTTTTTTTACCAAAATCCAAGGACTTGTTTTTATTTCGCTCCCAAGCAGAGTTTTCCTTGTCTTACAACAAAATTCTGCTGTAAGGGTGGGATCTCACCACAATCATTTCAAATTTGCTGCTCTGCAGGCACAAGATATTCTTCCTAATAATATTATATTGTCTTAATTATTAATTATATTATATATAATGTATATTTAGATATAAAAATATAATCACATAATAATGCAATTAATAATTTTTATATATATAAAAAGAAATAGACAAGGTATTATTCCAATATCTAATCTAAACCCATCCTGAATTTCAAGAGGCAATTGTGTTTAAAAAGGTGTTCAAGAGGCATTTGGACAGTGCCCTTAACAGCAGGATTCAACTTCTGGTCAGCCCTGAAGTGGTTGGGCAGCTGGACCAGATGATCCTTGGTGGTCCTTTCCAACTGAAAATATTCTATTATTATATTCTATTATTATAATTATATTCTTTTATTTCTATTTCTGTTATTTCTACTCCGTCTCCCTTCTGCTGGATCCATGGAGAGGATGGAGTGCTAAAAGCCCTGTGGGACAGGGACAGTGTCTTTAGGTGACCTCCAGGCTGTGTCTGGGAGGATCCACTGCCCTGCTGCCCCATCAGACCTCACAGCTGGTGTTCCAGCTGATGGGGCAGAGAGGAGAGACCTGCCAAAAATGATAATTAATAATTATCCAAGCAGCTCATTCCGTGGGCAACTCCCTGCTAAATCTTACATGGAGAAGTGGGCAGGATAAAACCATCATGGAATGGTTTGGTTTGGAAAGGACTTTAAAGTCCATCTTATTCCACCCCCTGCCACAGGCAGGGACACCTTCCACTATCCCAGGCTGCTCCAACCTGGCCTTGGACACTTCCAGGGATCCAGGGGCAGCCACAGCTTCTCTGCCCAACCTGGGCCAGGGCCTCCCCACCCTCACAGGGAAGAATTCCTTCCCAATAGCCCATCTAACCCTGCCATCCTTTAGCTTAAGGCCATTCCCCCTGTCCCATCCATTATGGAAAGGAATCTGAAGGACAATCTTCCTGTATCCAATTCAATTTCTGGAGGAACCCCCTGCTGAAATCACCGGGTTGGCACTTGCACATCCCTCATCCTTGTGCCATTCCAGGAGCTCTCCCCTCTCCCCACTCGGACTTCAGGCCCTTTTGGGGGGGGTGTCTGTCCATCATCCACCATCCCCAGCTGTCCTGAGTGTGCTCCCTGACCTGGGTGCTCCCAGCCCAGCTCCCCAGCCCTCAAGGCGGGGGGAAATTCTGATCGGCTGGCTTGTTCTGTGACCTGTTCCCATCATTATCTCTTTTCCCAGTGACACATCTCTCCCAGGATACCCCGAGTGTAAGGACTCTGCCTGCTTGGGCTTTCACCCTCACCTTGCAGCGATTGTTTGGTTTAAATGGAGCACTAAACGATGGAAATGCAAACTGCCTTTGAAACGGGGCCCTCGGGGATCTTGGGCGTCTCAAATGCACTAATTAGAGCTAAAAGAGGAGCTTTTACTCCCTTTTTTTTTTTTTGATTTTTTTTTTCCTTATAGATTAATTTAAACAAAGCTTGGCTCTGTTTGTTGACAGGGGTGGGGAGGGAGCTGAGCTCTCGCTTTCCCTGCCTTTCACTTCTCCTCCCTGGGCTGACGTTACAGACCCGGGCTCGGCTTGGCCCAGGGCTCCTCTCGGAGAAATGGAACTGGGAACCTGCACAGCACAACCCAAACCCTGCAGGGTTCGGGGTCCTGGAGGGAATTGAACTCATTCATAATATCTAATGGCTTAGTGCTTCTACCTCCACGTGGTGTCTGGAGGGACCAGCAGCTCCCATCCCTCCCAGATCTTACCAGGCCCTCCTGCGATTCCTTTTCATCCTGATCCAGTGGTTTTGTCCATCCAGCTCTCCTCTAATCATTCAAACACTCACCAAGGTTTTCTTGCACAGAACATGTGCTGCTTCAAAAATACTTCATGGGCCTGAACAGGTCCCACGGGGTCAGAGATGGCTCTGAGGATGCCCAGGATGGGAGGATCCCAGGGCAGAGGATGTCCTGCTCTGAATTCCCTGTGTGTCACCTGCAGCAGGCAGGGATGGAGAGTGGTGGATACAACATTGGGAGGAGGTTTCTGAAGGTACAAGCTGACTTTCAGCACCTCTGATGTCCCCACATAACCTGGGAGAGCTCTCAGATCTCCTGGTGAAGCACTTTGGGACCTCTGGAGCTGTTCAGAGCTGTGGAGGTGTCCAAAATTCATCATCCTGGGACAGGTCTGACCCGAGCCACTCCAAACTCCTCCTGCCATCGGCACGGTCACTCCCTGCTTCTTGCAGGGGAGCAGCTGGAAGCCATCTCTGGCTAAAAAAAACCTGGGAAAATAAAAAACAATCCCTATTTTGCTGAATTAAGGTGCTCCAGGCTATCCAGTTACTGTTGGGAAAGCAGCTCCCTTGTAATCCCGTGTCTTTGGGCATTTACAACTCCAGTAAATTAGCCTTGGGGATAAAGTTGTTATCCTTGTTTCCAGTTCCAAGCTGGATGTTTATGGGGAACATTTCAGATTCCCTTTGGCTCTTTTTAGGAAGACTGAAGCATGGAAAACCTTGGATATTTTTTGTGTAATCAGAATGATTTCAGGAGGTTTGGGTTGTGCTCAGTTAACTCCACCCCACCCAGGGCTGACCAAGTGCCAACTTCCAGGGAATATCAGTGCTATGTCCCCATCACTTAAATCCTTATTTTTGGTCCCCAAAGCAAAAAAAAAAAACAGGATTGTGGGATGTATCCAAAGCCCTCAGCCTCTGCCAGATCTGATTTACCCAAAAAATCAGGTACAAATTGGGGCATTATAGAACAGCTGAGCCCCTGCCAGTTGGGTGGTGGGAGTTTGGTGCCTTCAAGAGCTGCTCAAGGGTTGATCCTGGTGGGTTGGCTTCCCTTCCCAGCACCCTTAGAATGTTCACCAAGGCCTGGCTCCCCCCCAGAAAAATGCAAAGTGCAGGAACCACCAGCTTTGCATGTTGGAGAAAGGTGGAGCTGCACCAGCTTGTCCATCCCACCACCCCCTCTGCTGGGCCCTGGGTCTTGGAGACCTCGTGGAGACCAGTGTGTTGCTTCAAAAAAGCTGTATTCCTTCCTTAAACATCAATAATTTCATATCATAATTAATATAAATTACATATATTTATATATGTATTGTATACATTGGACAACCTGCTCTGGTGGAAGGTGTCCCTGCCCATGGCAAGGGGTTGGAAGCAGAGGGTTTTAAGGTCCCTTCCAACCCAAACCATTCCATGATTTCCATATAATATTTTAAGCTCACAACTCCAGACCTTTCCAGCACCCCCCAAAAACCTCGTGCAAAGCACCATTTCAAGTTAAACCCCTTAATTCTGTGGATTGGATGCTCATTTTTTAATTTCCTCCTGCCGTGACGTTGCTGTCGTGTCCCCACTTCAGAGGGGACCTGTTTGGAGGCAGAGGCTTTGGGGTTTGGTGCAGTTTGTCACTGGAGACCCCGTGGCAACACTGATTGGGATTTGTGGGGTTTAAAGCCAAAATATCAACTGTGCAAAGGCAGAAGGATGCCCCAAAAATGTGATAAAGTCATTGCAGAGCCTTCAAATTGGGGCACCTCCCCCCTGAACACTCGGAATTCCCACGTGGCTCCCTCCCTCGTGCCATAACCTGTTTCTGCTCTGCGCAGGATGAGGGACACGAGCAGGAAAAACAACGTTTTTGCCCAGTTCCGGAAGAACGAGCGGGACAAGCAGAAGCTCATCGACACCGTGGCCAAGCAGCTCCGCGGCCTCATCAACAGCCACCACTCCTGAGGGGGCTGGGGGGGAACCTTCCTTCCTTCCCAAACCCCTGGACTTGGGATTCTTGTTGAAAGAGAATATATGTATTTTTTTATTCACCTGTATATTCCTGGAACCTCCCCCCCGCCCTCCTCCCAACCCCCTTCCCGGTGACAAAACGCTCCTTGTGGAACAATCCCTTTGGGAAAAGAGGCTGGCGCTTGGAGGGGGTGTCAGGAGGCTCCTGGGATAAACTCCTGTTTTCTGGGGTTTGGGAAGCCACAGGAAGCCCTAAAGCCTGAGACAGAAGCTCACAGCCCGGCTGTTTTCTTGTTGTAGCAGCCAAATTGAAGGGACCATCCTGCCTTCCTTCGGTTATCCGCAAAAAATACGGAGGGAGGAGCCGTGGTTTGGGTTCTTCTCGTGGCTCAGAGGAAAGAGGGTCACCCGTTCGTGTGTCTTGCCAGCTTGTGCTTTGGATTTAGGTAGGAAAAGGGGCAAAGTGATTTCCCAGTTTTTCTCCTTGTTTTCCCATCTAAGAGCTGGTTTCCACCTTGGGAAAGGGGGATCCCTGGGGATCCCTGGAGCTGAGACCTTTTCCTGTGTGTCCGTGACCGGCGCGGCCACCCCTGAGCTCCGTCACCGGGACCTGCTGGGGTGTGTGGGACTGCCAGTGGGTGGAGAAGGGCTTGAGAGCTGCCTCAGTAATTAGATATGGAAAGGGAGAGCCAAAGGATAACCCGGCAGGGTGTCCTGTGGAGCTGGATTGGTGCTGGAATTGCTGCCGGTCACGTCCGTGTTCGGGCAGCAGGAATGGAGGGGTGGTGTAAAACTGAGCTCTCCTGATGCCCAGGGCACTGCATTCTGGGGTTTTCCCTCTCTTTTCCATGCTGGTGTCCCATCTGCCCTCTCCTCTTGGTGGTTCCATGGGGTAAAGCCCCTCTTGCTTCCCTTGGTTTGCTCGGTGTGAGGAGCAGCCCTGGATGGGACGTCGAGTGGGAAACTTGTGGAACCCCTGGCATGGTCAGGAATGCTCAGTCCTGCTCCAAAGTGCCTATGGACAAAATTCCCCTCAGCTCTGAAGGTTCCCAAAGACCCTCTGCTGGAATCAGGCAGCTTTTGAGGAGCAGGGCAACATTCCCAGTGGGATTTTAGCTCCAGGGTTCAGGTTACTGAGGGGGATTTTCACTCCAAGTGCTGCAGGTGAAAACTTTATCCAGCCACATTCCCCCTCTCCCAGACTCCTATGGTAAAGGGAATTAAAATCTTCCTGGTGGATGTTACAGGCCTGGGAGTGCTCCAGGAAATGTGCCCATTTCCCACCCTCTGGATGCACGGAGGGGATGAGGCTTTGTCCTCTCTCCTTGTTCCTCGGCGAGACTTCTGGGTGGTTTGTTTTGTTTTTGGGAAGGATTCGTGTTGCTTAACCCTGGAAGTGGACAGGAATGTGGTCAGGAATGACCTCCTGGGGCTGTTGTCCTGTCCCAGCCTCCTCCATCCACGAGGACCAAGGGATTATTTTCATTACTAAGAGGGAAAACCCATCCTGGCATTGTGGTTCCTCAGATTTTGGAGGGGGATCAGAGGTCACTTCCTTTTTAATGCCTCTTGGAAGGACATGGAAGGAGGACGAAGGAAAAAGAAGCAGGTGAAGGAAAGTTGGTGTCACGTGGCCAGAAATGGATCATCTTTGTAGACAAACCCACAAATGACCCAGCAAAGGCTTCCAGGGGGAGAAGAGGAACTCAGTCAGGGTGTGGGATAAAGGGAGAAGGATCGGGATCCTCAGATGTCAGGAAGGGATTTTGGTGGACAAAGCATCTGCTGCCACCCTGGAATTCCATTTTTTTCCCTCCTGTATCCCACTGCACAAGGTATTCCTGCAGGAAAACCTCAGCACAGCTGGGCCTGGAGGCAACCCCTTGTTTGCCATCCCCATCCCACATCAGGGCTCCCCTTCCCATCTCCACTGAGCTCCAATTCCAGGAGGAGCGACGCGGCCGTGCCGTGCCCGGGGTGGGTTCCCTCTCTCCTTGGAGAGCTTTGTGGGATTGGGATCCCACAAAACCAGCTCCTGGCGCTCCAGACTTGCCACTGGGAAAGTTCAGATCGGGCCAAGGGAGGGAATTTGGGGAGTTCCTGATTTCGGGAGGTCAAGAGCCTGAACCGCAAGTCACAGCCCGGGATGAAAAATGGCATTTTTGGTGCTCTGGTCCTAATTAACTTTTTGTTCCAAGAGATGCAGCTCCATCCCCTTGAAAATGGAATTAATCTTTTGAACAGATTGCCTAAAGAGTCCTGGAAGACATTCCCAATCCCCTCTAAGTCCCCTACTAATGATGCTCAGGAGGGAAAGGTTGTCGCTGGGAATTTCCAAGGAGGGTGGGAAGAGGGAGCAGAACCCCAAGTGAAGATTTGCAACCCCCAAAATAAGTAATGCTGCTATAAACCCCTCCCTCCCCAGACACTGAACGTTCCTTAGAGGGTTTTAGTTTTTAAGCAGTGGTTATAGAAAAAGAAAAAAATAAGGTTGTTGCCTCAATTTTTCCAGGAAATATTCATAAAAATATTCCGGGGGGGGACGGGGGGGAATCACCACCAGTGAGGGAAAAAAATACATTAACAAAAAAAAAAAGAAAAAATCACACCAATTTTGGTTTCCTGGGAAGCATCTGCACTTCTTATCTTCTTTATCATCTTGTCAGGCAGCCCAAGGGTTGGGAATAATTCTGTATAAGGTGGGAATTTGCAGCCCCAAGTGTATCCATAGGTGAGGGGAGTGTTCTCCATGAGCCATCAGCACGTGTGAGAGAGAGGAGGAGGCTTTTCCTGGGATTTTTTGGTTTATTCCAGGGGCTGCAGTTCAGGTCAGATGCTCTCAGCAATTTTTGCACTTTGTTTTAGATGCGACCTCAGCTCCCAGCTCGGATGGGGATGGGAGAAGTTTGGCTGGTGCTTTGTTCCAGGGGCTGCTTTGGCTTTGTTTTCCTTCAAAATCAGCTGCTTTTGTGCCCCTGGGAAGCTGGAATTTTGGGGCAGGAGGTGTGTGGGGGTCTGTGCTGGCCCCGAACTGGGAGATGCTGGGAGCCAACATGGGATGAGGAGGCTGAGGTGGAGCCAGGGCTGCTCTGGTGGCCTCCTGACTCCTTGTGCTGGAGCTGCTTTTGGGGTAAAATCCCCCCTTCCGAGCAGTGTCCAAACCCCAAGGAGAGACATCTCCACCCTTGGATGTCTCCTGCCTCTGGTTGGCTTTTCCCTTTAGTTCTGGGTCGGGTTTGGTGCTTTTTTTGTGGGACCATGGAGTGGTTTGGAGGATCAGAACACCCTCCCACGCCTCTGTTGGGTGTGTGTCCCACCCCTGGGTGCCACAGGGGGGGATCTCTGTGTCCCATTCCCTGCAGCTCCGTGGGGCCAGGAGACCCCCCGTGTGTCCCCCCAGCAGCACGACTCCGGGTTTGTCCCATGCTGGGGAGCTCACAAATAAATCTCATCCCCAAATGACTTCAAGATGCTCCCAGCCCTTGCTGTCCACTGGGAAAGTTGTGAGTTTTACGGGAACTGACCCAAATTCTCCGGGATCTGGGTGGGATGGAGAGAGGGGGAAGCTCAGCCTGGGACTCGGGGACTGGATGATTTGCTTCATCCCAAATTTGCTGCTCCGGTCTCCAGCCCAGCTGGATTTAGGAATCTTTACATCCATCCCCACCCGCAGCTTCCCCAGTTTTGGGGGAGCCAGCACCCCAAAAATTCCACGGGCAGCTCAGGCTTCTGGAATCCTGCGTGTGCCGGGCTCCTTCCGCCTTGGCTCATCCCTCTGATTCAGTTCTGACAGGAGAACACTCCATCCTGATCCCTGCTCCCATCCCAATCCCTGCCCCCATCCCAACCCCTGCCCCCATCCAATCCCTGCCCATCCTAATCCCTCCCTGTCCACCGGCTGCTTGGGTTGCCTTTTCTCACTTATTATTATTTTTTTTTTTTTGGGGGTGGGGTGGAAAGGCCGTGATTTTGTAAAACTGATGTGGTGAAAACAGCTTTTTTTGCACAAGTCGTTGCACAATAAGGGGGAAAAAATTTAGTAAATTAGGTTTAACTTTAAAGGGAATTTTTTGGGGTTTTGGTTTTGTTTTGTTTTGTTGGTTTTTTTTCCTTAAAACTCACTAGCAGAGCTACTGATGAAAAAGAGAAGACAAAGAGCTGGACTGCTTAAGGAATGGACTGCATGGTTTCCAGGTGGAATTGCTTTAGAATTTAGCATGTTGATTCCAACTGTACATTTATCCTGTTGTAACTCCAATTAAACAATACAGCAATTAACTGTTTAATCCATGAAGTGCCTGTGCATCGCTGGGAAGGTGCTGCCCTTGCCTTCACCTCGCTGGGAAAAAAAAAAACACAACAAAATCCTATAAAAAGATAAAATTCAAGGTCTCTTTTGGACAAGCAGCAAAGATTTGCTGTTGAAACCCACGGATTTAGGGAGGATCCCATGGGAGACAATCCCTGGATTGACGGCACTGGCTCCCACAGCCCGTGTGGCATTGGAACACTGTGAGCTAAAGCCAAGTTTGCCTTAATTTAGTGGTTATTTTAATTGGGTTTTTATCAAAAATTCTTATTTATGAGGGTGGGGAGGCCCTGGCGCAGGTTGGGCAGAGAAGCTGTGGCTGCCCCTGGATCCCTGGAAGTGTCCAAGGCCAGGTTGGAGCAACCTGGGCTGGTGGAAGGTGTCCCTGCCCGTGGCAGGGGGTGGGAGGTTTGGTGGAAGGCTCAGGCGGATGGGGAGGTTCAGTGTGTAGGAGTGAAGGATTTAGGGAATATTCACGGGCTGGGAGACTCCCTGCTGCGAAGCAAAGGATCCTGGATGGTTTGTATTCCAGGAATTCCTCTAAACCCCTTTTTTTAAGTGATTTCTCCCTTTTGGGATCTGTCAGATCCTGGGGGCAGGGAGTCCCCAGGTGTTAATTTTCAGAAGGGAAAGTTCTGCCTGGTGGTGGTTGTTAATTCAACCCCTGCCAGGGGCAGAAGAGGCTGAGGGGAGGATGGGAACCTCCCAGAGTTCATCAGAATACTCTTGGGTGCTTCTGTTGGCAATCATGGGCAAAAGGGAAAGTGCCATCTGATCCAAATGCAGGTCAAGGTGTGATCCCAAAAGTGCAGGAAGCCCCCCAGGGCACCCGGTACCTGGATCAAGGACCTCCACATCAGCCCCTGTTCCCTTGGCCTGGTGGATTTTGGAGAGCTGAGCTGTGCTTGGAGCAGCCTGGAGGCTCCAGCTCGGGGCCATTTACCCCAGGCAGGAGAGATGGAGGTGTCCTGCAGCTCCTGTGAAGATGAGATGGGATCCAGCAGCGTGGGACTCCCCTGGGAGATGGTGGGCAGAGCCCTCGGGCCATCCTGGCCTCTGGAGCGATGAGGAGCAGCCACAGGTAGGTTTGGGGGCCTGGATGTGGGAGTGGTGTCACACCAAGCACCCAGGGCTCTGCCTACACCTAAATCCATGCCCAGAGTGGGGCCAGCCCCCTGCCAGCCCTGGGGCTGCCCAGAGCCACTTGTCTGGCTGTGGGACACCAAGCCCTTCACCCCCGGTGTCCTCGGGGCACCTCGAACCACCCCCAGCCCGTGCAGGGGCTGCCAGAGCCCAAACTCCATAGAATCATAGAATATCCTGAGCTGGAAGGGACCCACAGGGATCATCCAGCCCAACCCCTGGGGGAAGAACCTTCTCCTGAGATCCAACCTGAGGCTGCCCTGGCACAGCTCCAGCCCTTCCCTGGGTCCTGTCCCTGGGGGTGGTGCCGGGTGTAGCCCCATCCATCCAAGGAGCAATCCCTGTGACAAACCCTCCCCAGGAACATCCTCAGGCACCTCTGGAGAAGGCCAAGTTGGGATGGTGCATCCATGGGGGCAGGACATGATCCCACAGCCCCACTCAGCCCCTGACCTGACCCTGCTGGGTAAGTGCAGGGAGCATTCCCTGAGCCCTGGGATTGTTCCTTTTGGTTGTCCAGGCTTTTCTCACCTCTAGGAGTTCCTCGTTTTGACTTTGCTGTTTCTGCTCTGGGATTTACCATCTCAAGTGTCTCAGGAATTGCCTGGCATTTCCCACAGGTGGGATGGAGGCCAAGTGCCAGCCCAGCTGAGTTATCCCCACCAGTGATGATGCTCTGTGGGGTCTGCAGGACACCGCAAGGAGGAAGATCCAGCACAACACGCTCAGACCCTGCAGATGCTCCTGCCTTCTCCAGTGGGACAGGACCTCTGGAAAGTCTCCAGGCCAATCCCCTGCTTGAAGCTGGAGATCACCCCACAAGGTTTTCATTCCTGCTGCCGGTGCCGGAGCTGTTTTCCAAAGCCGAATCCCAAACCCACAAGAAGGGAGGGGTTTTTTTTTCCTCCTTGTTTTCTCCGAGTCAGGTGAGACAAACACTTTTCAACAGATACTCCTGAGCATTTATTTCCTCCTGTCTCTGTCCCTTCTTGCCTTCACCTCGATTCACCTCTTTAACCTCCTTCCTGGCTGAGATTGGCTGAGGTTGCAGGGAAGTGGAGTTGTCAGGTGAGCCTGTCTCCAGCCCCTGGGATTTCTCTTCCATGATGGAGCCAGGCCCTGCAGCCCCAGGAATGGAGCTGCCATGGGACACAGTAAGGATTTGGGATGGGAGGAACACCTGCATCAGGCTGTGGGTTTGCTCTCTCCTCGTGCCCCATGTACAGGACTGTCATGCAAAGCTGAAAGAGGGTGGATTTAGGTTGGATATTGGGAAGAAATTCTTCCCTGTGAGGGTGGTGGGACACTGGAATGGATTTCCCAGAGAAGCTGTGGCTGCCCCATCCCTGGAAGTGTTCAAGGACACACTGGACAGGGCTTGGAGCAACCAGGTCTAGTGGAAAGTGTCCCTGCCCATGGCAGGGGAGTCGAATTAGGTGGTTTTTAACATCCCTTCCAACCCAAACCGTTCCGTGATTCTATCATTTCTTCTGCCACGAGCCAAAACAAATCTTCAATGAGCTCCTTCCCACCCCTGAGAGCCAGGAAGGAGCGGGAAGGGGGACACTGGACCAGAAGGACCACCAAAGTTTTGCAGGAGTGAAGAGTTTAAAGCAAAGGTGGAGGGAGGAAGCAGATAAGACACAGCTGTCACCACTTGCCCGCAGAGCAGGTGAAGGAGGCTGAGAGAACTGATAAATGTGGGAGAGGAGCAGATGGTGCAGAGATAATGTGGCCTGAGATAAGGATGGGTGAGATGAAGCAGGTAGGGAAGGGACTGCACCTCTCCTGGCAGGGAAGCCTGGATGGAATCCAAGAGGAATGAGCACAGAGCATTACGTACCCCGTAAGAAATGCGGGCACGGAGACATGGGAGGTGGAGCAACTGGATTTGGGATGAGAAACTGGGTCAGGCAGGGAGCAGCACAGCAGGGCAGCTGGGGTGCCAAGAGAGGGCAAGGGTGGTGGCATTGTTGTGTGGTGGGGATGAAGCAAGGTGGGATTGCTTGGGGTCAAGGTGGGATTGCTTTCCTGCCTTTTGCTCTTCCATTTCTCCATAGCATTGTGGTTCAGACTGGAAGAAACCCCCAGAAAAGGGGAAAAGTGTCTTTGAGGTGAATATCCCAAATATTGCCCACTCGGAGGGATGGACCTTAGTGCTTTGTGTAGGGCATCTGATCCCCAGGTGGGACTGGGCTTCATCTTCCTTTCCCCAGGTGGGACTGGGCTTCCTCTTAATTTCCCCAGGTGGGACTGGGCTTCCTCTTAATTTCCCCAGGTGGGACTGGGCTTCATCTTCCTTTCCCCAGGTGGGACTGGGCTTCATCTTCCTTTCCCCAGGTGGGACTGGGCTTCATCTTCCTGTCCCCCTCTCCATCCCTGACATCCCCAGGTGGGGCAGCCCCTCCTCCTTCGCTCCGTGCCCCCATGCCAAGCCCCACGTGGCTCCGCGGCCCTGCTAATTCCATTCCACGGGGCCGTAATTGGATGAGGGCTCAGGAGAGCCATGGATCAAAGGCAGGCTGCCATCAATATCTGCCTGGGCCCCGATGTGATTAGCAGGGGCAGGACATCCATCACGGCTGCCCCTCCCTGACCCAGCGCCGGGCGAGGCAGGTACAGCGCCCGGCAAATCGCATTTGCTCGCCAGAGGTTAAGCGGGGCTGGGGGATGAAAAATGATCCCCCTGCCGCGGCTCCTCGGCACTCATTCATCTCCCGGGGTGGAGGGGCTGCCCGGGCTGGCTCTGGGAGATGATCACTCAACGTCAGGGGGACGTGTGAAGTGTTAAAGACCCCCCGGCGGGGCACGGGGCGCTCGTTTGTATTCATTAGCCGGGCGGCTGCAGATGTCGGCGGCTCTTTGAGGGGGCACAGACGCACGAGTTGGCTGCCCAGGTCCTCTCCTGCAGGCCTTGCTGGGGTGGTGGGATGGGATTTCTCTTCACTTGTTGCTCCCCTGGGTGCAGGGGACTCCCGTGTGAGGAACGTGGTCCTGCTTCTCCTCCATCCACGGTCCCAGTAAAAACATCCAGGTCGCGTCTCTGCTCCCAGGAACCGGAGGGCTTGTCCTCAAAGCTGTGCCAGGGGAGGCTCGGGTTGGACACCAGGAAGAAGGTTTTTCCAGAGAGAGTGCTCAGACACTGGAATGGGCTGCCCAGGGAAGGAGTGGAGTCACTTCTCTGGAGGTGTTTAAGGACAGGTTGGATGTGGCATCAGTGCCATGGGCTGGGAACCACGGCGGGGTTGGAGTGAGGGTTGGACTGGATGATCTCAGAGGTCTTTCCCAACCTGGCTGATTTTGTGATTCTATGACACCTGGAAAGAACCTGAACTTCTCTTTTCCCCACTGTCCCTTTTTTTAGGATTGAGCTGTTACGGACTGTGCAGAGCACAGGGGATGCTCCAGCCCCATCCCACTGCTATCATTTGAACCTCTGGTAAGGTTTCTCCACAAAAGTCCTGGCTGGAGGCAGCTCTTGGCTCTTCTCCTCCCCAAATCTTCAGCACTGACCTTTCCCTCTGCCTCACCCCCCTCTTTTGCTGAAACCACGGGTTTTCCAGGGCTGAGCCTGGTCAGTGACTGCATCTTTAGGAATGTTTCTGTTCCCACCTGTCCAAAAAGGATGGGCAGCAATCTCCAAGCTGTCCTGTTTGGACAGGTCTTCCCTCCTCTCCTGCCTTTTGCCCTTCCACTTCTCCACAGCGTCGTGGTTCAGCCTGGAAGAAAACCACAGAAAAGGGGGAAAGTGTTTTTGAGGTGAATATCCTTAATATTGCCCACTCTGAGGGGTGGACCCTCTGCCAGGCCCCCTGGAAGTGGCTCCAGCAGTGG